GCTACCAGAGCTCCCAGTTTTCATTTGTATTTCTTAATTATTAAAGGAGATGAGCACCTCCTCACATATTTTCTGGCCTCTTGGGTTCCATGTTTTGTGATGTTGCTTGTTCATTCATTATCTATTTTATTTTTTCCTATTGACTTATAGGAATTACTTATATATTTCTGATGCAAAGTTTTGATCCTTTGTCAATTATATATTCTGTCAGTTGATGTCTGAAAGATTCAGAAGAACCCACTGTTATACTTACATTGTTCAGTATCTTTTTCCCTGGTGGTCCAGGAGTAGTTGAAGCCTTGGGTAGTCCCACTGGAATTGCTGGCTGAAAGACACAGTTTTCAGAATCCATCTTTTTTATGAATCTGTCATTTAACTTTGCTTTGATGGACTGAATTTTCAATCTCTATGACTTTGGGGAGGAGCTCTGGTGGCGTAGTGCCTAAGGCATGTAACTGCTAAACAGAAGGCTGGCAGTTCAAACCCACCAGCTACTCCTCGGAAGGAAGTTTGGGTAATCTATTTCCATAGTGATACTGCCTCAGAAACCCAAGGAGGTGTTACTATGAATCACATTCGACTCAACAGCAATGTTTTGCATTGTTGTATGACTTTGGGGAAATCTGAAATTTTAAATGTGTTTTCCTTGGCAGGAATACCAGTTGGCATATTAAGCAAAGCTCTGTAGTTTATGTTTAATGCCTTGTCACTGATTTACTTCATTTTTCTGTTCTTGCCACCAACTCAACACTGGGAGCATTGTGATGATCACTTTAATATTACTGTAAAATACTTTGACGAATAGGAGATACAATATAACAACAAATCACTAACCCTTATTTTAAGATTACAGAGATTGTCATATTGATGTTTAGTCATCAGATTACCAGTTGCCACAGGGTAACTCAATACCACAATCAATGAAAACACAATACCAACATCAAATAAAAAATACAGACTTTTACACAAACCTTAAGCTTATTATAGCTTTAGTAAAACCTGTTTGTTGTCTCTTCAAATTCTACAAAGAAACTTGAGATACTCACTTTGAAGGATAAAGTTTGGAGTTGAGGTGCTTACATCCACAGGGGATATTGAAGATGTGGCTGTATATCCTATTTTAAAAACAAAATTCTCAAATTGTTATAGGTATTTACATTCATTAATTGTATCACTAGATTTAACAAGGATATGGACTATTAGAGTTGGATAGAATCTTAGTGGATGATGAGGTGACACCAAGAGGTATATGCTATGTTTATATACACAGTATTCAAAATTATTTCTTTGATTTTCACACTTGCAAAACATATTATTTCCGTGCCTCCTTTCAGACTATATTATTTCCGTACTTACTATTTGCCAGATTCTACTCTACGTGCTGGGGATAAAGAAATGAACAATGAAAACAAATTGAGTTTTCCTATGTAGAACACAATATTTCCACATGTTAAATATGATTTTGTATTTATTTCAATTCTTAGTTTTCAAATTCAGCTCCACCTTTATAATCCATCATTTTCTGTTTTACTTTCTCCCACCCAAAATGAAGGACTAATTAATATTCATTTGAAAATGAATTTGAAAATATCTCTGGAAATGAAGCAAGGTAGATTAAAGAAGAAAAAAAATGCCTAACCACACTCCATTAAATATGTTTTAATCTCTTGGGAAGACAATATTTTAATGTATTTTATGTATGCATATTTCCCTCTTGTTCTAAACATAGCTTACATAAATAGGCAGTACAAGAAGCTAAAAAACAATGAGTGGAAAAAGAAAATAAAGGTAAGAAAAACACAAATAGAAAAATGTAGGATCCTGGGTAAGAACAGTAAATAAAACACATTTCTTTAGTTTCTCTCTTTCTCTCTCTTTTAGAGTGGTAAACATAAATGTAACATAACATTTGACATTTCAACAACCTTCACATTTACACTTCAGAGAAATTATTTATGTTCATCAGGTTCAACCATCACCCTTATCCATTCCCAAATTATACCATCACCCTTAACAGAAGCTCTATGTTCCCTAACAAAATTCAATCCTTGGTATCATTAGCAGATGTGGATCCCAAATTTGGCCTAAACTCTTTATTCACAAATGGTAAAAATAAAGAGTGTGATTGATGAATGTCATGAGATAAAGCAGTCAATTTTCAGGAAAACAAAACAACAACAACTATATATATATATATATATATATATATATATATATATGTATGTATGTGTGTGTGTGTGTGTATAGGAG